TTGGTAAGAATGCCAACATGAGATAACTACCCACTAGAGTACAATCGGCGTGGAGGTAGCCGTACAACCTTCAACAATGAGAAAATACCGTATAGGCAGCTATAAAAGGCCCCCTGCACGACAGAATGTGAAACAATTCAAACGAGAAACCAACAGACTGATTCGTGCTTTAACAATAAACGAAAACCAAATATGATAGACAGTGACAAAGTATTTTATAAGTCATGTCATTACCATAAAAAAGTCACGATAACCATTGTCTATACTATTTTTCTTCATATTAGTTTTTTTAACCAGACTCAAGCTGTTAGCCAGTTATAGCATCCAATCAAGCCAGCAGCAACCTTTTGCCAGCAGCCAATTTTTATGATATATATATATATAAAAAATTAAACTGTATTAGCCTCAAACGTTCCAAAAATCTTAAAATCTTATCTAGCTATATCTTTTCCTTTGACAACGAAATTCGACATTTTTACGGCTTGTCGTGAAAATCATAAACGGATTGTTTTAAATCTTCCGAGGCAAAAATGTAACATTCAAAGGAAAAGGAACGGAATAATTTTTCTTGCATTAACGATGATTTACCTGCAGCAAGTAAAGACAAGATAATTATTCATGTATGTCTGCAAGGATGTTATTATTCTTTGGTTAAGTTACATATCAATTATCCTTAAAATCGGAACATTTACAGAGCTGTTCAGAAGTTAACTTCTATTTTCTACTACTGAAAAAAAAAACAGGATGGTATAGAAAATCGTGTTTTTTTACCAGATGGTTAATTGGAGAAAACCATAAATGCTAGAAGACGATCTCATATCACAGAAGTTTAAATAAGGAAATATTTTTTATGAAATAAATAGCCTGTGGTTAGTTATTATAATATATTTTTAAATGCGTTCTTTAAATTTATATCTTGGACAAGAAGAGTAAACACATTTTGGATTGTGTTAATTGTGTTCCATATATGGCGTATAAAACGCTTTTTATGCGTGATTATAAAAAAAACATTTTTTAGTAATTATGAGACTTCTATGGTTGTCGATTGGTGATTTGTGTCGTTATTTTGATGTCTCACTGACGTATGCCAAAATCTCTTTTTTATTGCATTTCAACATATAAAATTAATAAAATCCCCGGCATAATACATTTCTTTCAATATGTTTATGATACATTTGCTTTTCTTTTTTATTCTAGGTGATTGATTGTCAGTAAAGATAGTTAGTACAAAGTAGGAATATTAACAGTTTTAATAGCTTTTGATAGCTATTATTTGTGTGTGTCTCTGTCCTGTATGTTCTCCTATTTATTTGTATTGTAGTCCTGTCATGTAATCTTGTCATTTTATTGTTATATTTAACATTGCCATAAAAGCGGGAGATTTGGCTAGCCACAGAACCAGGTTCAACCCACCATTTATATTTAAAATGTCCAGTACCAAGTCAGGAAAATGGTCATTGTTATATTATAGTTCGTTTCTGTGTGAGTTGCATTTTAGTGTTGTGTCGTTGTTCTCCTCTTATATTTGATGTGTTTCCCTCAGTTTTAGTTTGTAACCCGGATTTGTTTTTTTCTCAATCGATTTATGAATTTCGAATAGCGGTATACTACTGTTGCCTTTATTTAACACGAATATAGTTACAGTTTGGTTGTAATTTTGATATATTGGCCTCAATTTAAAAACATTCAAATTTTAGTACTATACCTTTTGTTTATGAATTGAAGATACCATAATAATTTTCAGAATGAATGCAAATTTAATTACAATTCCCGGTATCGACGCATATGGCCTCGCTCCGTTATATAAATGTTTGCTTGTATATATTCAAAATATAAAGGAGTCATTAAATGAACAATCTAATTTCTTTACAGATCAATTATTATTCTAAATTTAAAAATTGAACGTTTAAAAGGCAAAATGCGATATTTTTATTAGTATTTTATACGCTTTCAAAAGGAAACAAAAAAAAAACCAACATTAATGATGTTCAATTTACTCGTTAACCTGATGATATTGCATGTGAATTTTTCAAAGATATAGAGCGTTATTTTTGTACGGCGCTATAGATTGTAAAATTTATCATTACAATTTTAGTAAATTAAATAGTATTTCAAATGTGCAATTACCACAATAAATAAAATAGTTATATATAATATATTATGCAATAAAGCGAGTTTTGAACTGCTTTAAAACTAATAATTCGTTACTACAAATTTGGCGGCATTACGGATTCAATACATTCGTCATTTATACAGAATCATGTTTTTGCACGAACTGATTTATATCAAAAATCCTGTATTACGATTTTGAACAAATATTTTTAGCATTAAATTCCTGAGACCAAATTAAAAAGTTAGTAATGAAAAATTTCATTTTTTTGTAAAGAATTTAAAATTCATCAGAACGAATTAGAATATTATTTCTGATAATTTTTCAATAAGGTCCCGTGAATTTACTAAGATCTGAATTTAAAATACATGAAAAAGATATAAGGAACTGACAAATATATTGGACAGTACAAAAGACCACACTAACCATCAGTTATAGTAGCGGAACAGTATTGCTCAGAATAACAATGAGAACAAATAAAATTGTGTTCTTAAAATGGTGATATGAACTGTGGATTTGAAATTAGAATTCAAGAAAATTTGTAGAATCCAGACAAACAAAATGTTACCTCACAAACTTAAGTGACCTTGTTTTTATATTGATATCTGTATAATTCATTGAAAACATCTTATGATATTCAAATTTGACTGAGAACATGATAACACCAAAATATATAAAAAGGGAAACTAGAATAAGGTGATCTAGTGATCACAGATACACCCGCTTGCAGAAACTCTTTAACAGTAAATGCCAAAATGAAATTAAAATTGAACGTGACCTTTATTTTATGTTTCATCACTTTCTGTCAAATTATAAAAAAGATTTTGTCAAATGGTTTCTATATTATCACCCGGAAACCAAAATAAAATGAATTTTAAAAGGTAAATAAAGGAAGTTACTCGTGAACGTTAAAGATCCAAAATCATCAAAATCGAACTTGACCTGTATTTTATGATCAATGACGATGATTGTGTTCAAATTTTAAAAGATTCGGCCAAATGGTACTTTAGGTATCAACTGGAAACAAAACAAAAAATACAAATGCTTAAAAAACTAAAAAAAAAAAAAGAAAAAAAAAAGGCAATTACTTTTAAATAGTGAATATAAAAAACCCCAAAATCGAACTTGACCTGTATTTAATGTTCCATGAAACAGTGTTTAAGTTGCAAAAGATTTAGTCACGCAAGATTTTCAATTTTCATCAGTAGACCACAGAAAACCCAACTTTAAAGGTAAAAAGTGTAACCAAGGGACATAACTCTTGGAAGGTTAATGTCAAAACCACCTAACTGTATAATTTATTTATTGTCCATGTTATAGTTTTAAGATGTCAAAAGATTTGGTCAAGCGGTACTTTAATAATCATCAGGAAACCAAACTTGTGATAAACGCACAAACGGACGGACGGACCTGTTCATCCCCATATACCCAACAATATATGCGGGGTAAACGTCAATGAGACTGCAACCTCACGACAAAAATTAATTTCGGTACTGATATGATTTATAACAAACCTTTTTTTTAAATTGTCCGTTATAAATTTATAAATAATTAAGAAACGTATGTTTCAACTCCCTCAAGCAAATGTGTCCTTAGATAGATTTGACTATTATTTCAGTTCCTTTTTGGTCATATAGCTCTGCAACTGTTTCTGTACCTTCACATCCTTGGCTTTCAAATATTCGGCTTTGGGCATTCCCGATGAAGGTAAATTCAGAAAAGCGCTTCGGACGTACGAGTTTGATACAGTGTTGTTTTCATTTGTTAACCTAATGACATCTGGAGTGCAACTCACAGTTTTCGACGATAGACATTTGTAAATACAATATCGCCCCAAATATTTAAATTAACATAGACAATCAAAGATCTGCCATTAACACCCAATTCATAACAACGAATAGCATTAAGATATTACATACGACAACTACTGTCGAGGTTCGAAGACCCTATATAAAATTATGCTGTAATGCCAATCCAAAGACTAGCAGAACTTTGTTAGTTTCGATGTGAATAATGTTCTGAAAAGTGTTCCAAAGGAGAGATCGGACTGTTATATGGGACCAAAATGGTCATCAGTGTCATACCACATGTTTGTGATATCAGTCTTATCTGACTGTCTTTCGATTACCCATGCTGTATTCAAAAAATCGTTACCTTTTTTTTTCTTTTAAGTGTTTTCAAAGACTTAATACTTTTACTTCGTTTGTGCGCTGAAATGGTTGCTTATACCATAATGTAATTGCTGTTATATATTTGTTTTTCAAACAGTGTTAATTGTTACACTGAATATATAGAGGATAACTATAAAGATTTTCTTCCATGCGACATACATGTAGCTATAAGTGTAGGCCTAAGTTAATATGCATAATTTCAGAGTGTTTCTTTGAAAAATTGTAACGGGTAACTGGTAGATAAGTGACGAACACTCCAAAAAGCCTCATATTCTGGCAAACCTTTTATTCTAACTTATCATGTTATTGCAATATTCACTACCTGAAATATAGTGGTATGCTGAAATAACTTAAGGATTAATTCTGTTTTTTTTTTGTAGATGGTAGACTCCGATAGCTTAATGGATAGAAGTTTTTTCTGCTTACCCTTCCGGAGCACCTAGGATCCCACATAGTTTTAGTGGGATTCGTGTTGCTCATTCTTGAGTTTTATATGTAGTGTTATGTGATTAATCGTCTTTCGTTCTTGCCTCGGCGCTGTCAGTTTCTTTCGATTTATGAGTTTTGAATGTCCCCTGTTGATATCTTCTATTTTTTTTTCCAGTTTGTACAATCGTTATCTTTGTTTTGTTCATTATGGCTGTAATGCTTCAAACGTATTCTTAATGAAAAGAGAAAAATATATATAAGCATTTCTGAGATGGTTATTCTGATCGATGTTAATTCATGGGAAATTTACTATACATGAACACAGATAATACAACAAGCAAAGCCCCGAAAGTGAATTCTATTGTCAGTTTAAAATCAAAGAGATATACTGAAATAATACAAGATAAAACAATAGCACCGGAAGTTGAAAAGCCTTTCAATATATTGTTTGCATATTTTACAACGACTGCAGTACATAACCCACCAAACGATTGTAAAAATATAACAAACCACACAGCACTATAGTAGCCATGAAAAAATCCTTTCTCGATGACTTTGATACCATCCCTGATGCCCATTGTAATGAATCCTATTGCTATACCAAACATCCCAAGTTGTACATTTCTCAACCAAATCGACCCTTTGGTTCCCTTCAAAATCTTTTCAAAGTAAACACCCGAGAATCCAGAAAGACAGCATGATATAACGACACAGATTATACCAACAACTCGATTTTTGTCGACATCAAGTGTTTCTCCCTTTGTAGATTCTGTTGATGGTAAAAGTACAACTGAAACGCCTACAAATAGAATACACAAGGATATCCATTGAAGCCTTGAAATCTTCGTCTTCAACATAATGACAGAACAAACCGCTGTGGTAAAAATCTTCAATTGATATGTTACCTAAAAAAGAGGTTAGTATATATTGTTTTTTTCCTGATACGCATATTGTACATATTGAGGATGATAAGTAAATTAAAACTGAATAAAGAGTAAATATGAATTATTGAAGGTAACTGAATAATACAAAGTGACTAAAAATGAATATCTTGAAGTCAAATAATATACCTGCATAGCTAGCAGATATAAAAGCTTGTTGGTGTATCACATATATGATTTTTTAAATAGTATTCTTAGTCCTGCAGAATATCATTGTGGTATTTAAATCAAATATCAAAAACATTTTTTTTGTTCATTATCTAGTAGTTGTCAATTGAAGGACCCTGCGACAGTCACGTGTATGTTATAGCATTTACAGATTCTTGTCCATATTTCAGCCCTGGACAGTACAGCAAGTTTTCACTGACCCCTTCCCCAAAAAATTATATTCAAATAGTTTGAACTCCCTTAATGTAATTACAAAAGGATGAATTTTAGCATTTTTTATCTATCATTTTCGAGTTAAAGAACTATCTGGAACTATAAGGTAATCGCAGGTTAATAAACAATTAAATAATACTTTACTATTGTAAGTAAGTAAGTACCTGACATGTGGCTGCATCAAGATTTGAAACGGCAACATAGAACAGATTGTTTTGGAAGACGTATATAATGGCTGGAATGGACATACGTATGCAGTCTACAGGCTGGTCAATTATATGTTTCATTAAATGCTGAACCAATTTATGTATACTCCTTTCTTGGTAGAGAATGATGGCTAATGAGGCCAACATTTTGAACGCTTCGCAAATTATAACAGCTGTGGATGCAACGAACATGTCACCTTTCTGAGTCCTAACATAACGTACCATCATGATCACAAGTGTCGTTTGAACTGCGAGTAAAACCAAACTCAGGTATTTTAACATTTTGCTCTGCTTTTTTCGTGTTACCTTGATCAAATTATCTGACAAAACTTCATGTTGATATACAGTTTCCTTGTCTAAAATTTATCAAAATATTAAAAATATTACTGCTCTACACTGTGGCTACAATATTTCATATGAAAATTAATTTTAAAAAAGAAGGAAAAACATTTGGTATTTTGACTGAATCTTTACTCTTGTTTATTTTATGTGTCATATGTAGTTACTATATTAGAGGCACGCAAATGAAGACGCACGGACCATGACCGACTATTATTCCAATTTGGTTTCTGTTATGTTGAGACGAATCTGATATCCAATTGACGCCACTGCTTGTGGAATTTTCCTCTCCGATCGAGGGTATCACCAAACAGAAGTCTGCACTTCTGTGATGACATGAATTATCATTGATATGATCATTATTATAAATCAACTGATTACAAAAATTCTAAATACTAAGATTTTTATCCCCCAAGGAATAGATTATTTTGCTGTTTTCGGCAAAACCTTTCGGAATTTTGGGTACTAAATGCTATTCAACTTAGTAATTTATTTGGCCTTTTTAACTTTTTATATTTGAGCGTCATTGATGAGTTTTTTGTAGAAGAAACGCGCGTCTGGCGTATAAAATTATTCCTGGTATCTATGAGCAATTCATTGATAAAACACACAATTAATATGGAAAAAGAAATTCCTAAATGCATTAAAAAACAAAAGCAAAATAATGCTGAAATGACTGTTCATCATAAAGTCACAGTGAAACCTTCAAAGTGGAACAAAACCTTATACCTGACGTCAAATTCAATATAATATTAAGAATACATGGTATGACTGCCAATGAGACAACAATCCACCAGACTTCAAATGACGTGGATGTAGGCAACTATAGGCCGCCAGGCGGCCTTTAACATCCCGCGAAACCAACACCGTATAGTGATGACAAAATGTAAAACAAATTCAACGTGAAAACCAATGACCTGAGCTATTACAAAACAATTAAGAAAAACAAATATGACCCACAGCAACCAACGACAACAACTGAAGACAGCCGATAACACAGGTCTGAGAGTAAATCTTTGTTGTAATACGGAATAATAATACAATGAGGTCTCGCCAGCTGTGCATTGAAGCACACATGTTAACTTCAACAAATATCAGATTAATAACAATTGAGGAAATCTTTGTTGTTCATGAATAAATAATGATGTTGTTTTCATTCTGTATACATACATATATTTTGTATATGTGTTAATAGCACTTAAATATATGAAGATTACACTATTTCATTTTCATTATTCTAGTTGTACGATTCACATTTGGTAGAGTATGAATTTTGAAATAAGCAGAAAATGGTGCAATTAATTCATAACTAGATCGATTTACTATTGTAATGGCTTAAGAATGCATCATTTGTGCCAGACATGTTCAAGGGATTCAAATTCTACTTCTGACTAAGTATTAGTACCAAATGTAACATTTACACTGTTCTTTGCCAAATTTTATGGCAAATAAACTAAATCCGTTGCCATGGATTCATAAACTTGAAAGTTATAACTTTACTCGATAAGAAATGTATAAACAAAAATACCGAACTCCAAAATAAATTCAAAAAAAGGAGGAAGTCCTTAAAATCTGACATTGACAACTGGAAAATAAAACATATAGAATATCTTAATTGTATACATATATATTATATGCGACATTAAAAGTTAAGCAAATTTTGTTGGAAAGCTAGGAAAGGAGAATAATTAAAAAATATAAATCAATTGTTTTAAAAACAATTGTTAAACGGTCTTTCCCCTCCGAAACATGATTAATTGGTTGGTTGGTTGGTTGGTTGATCGATCGATTGATTGATTGATTGATTGATTGATTGATTGATTGATTGATTGAAAGTTTGCATGACACTCTCTCTATGCGAGGCATCGGACTTGACGTTCATATTCTGACCGGGCTGCGTACTTGTACATCCCGCACTCCCAAACGGATAGCCTCAGGATTTCCTAATAAATAAAAATCCTAACATCTTCTTTTTTTTCTAATTTTCTCTATTTGCTACGAGAACTGGTACTTCATGGTTTCTTTTATGTGTTGTATGTACATTTTGTTTCAACTTGTAGGAAAAAAAATGAGTAACATTTTGTCATGGAAGTTTCACTTTCCATATTTGGATATGGATCTCGAATGTTTTATTCTAATTTTAGGTCCGCGCGCGTGATGATGTTTTGAAGTCACGTGACGCTCGAACATATATGTCTGGAGTACACATGTTTACGGGAGCACAGATTTGTATTTTAATGCATGATTAAAAAATTTGATTGTAGGATTTCAGCAATATTTACGATTTTTCTACGTCATTGAATTTTATTTCTCAATCAAGCGGACCGCGTCTAACGGGAACATGAATTGGAGCCGATTTTTGCAGGAATGAATTTCTATTTAAGAAGTTTGTACATCAGAAGGATTGCATTTTTACAGTTAAATGTACAGGACTGAACTTCAAGGCGAAATGGGATTCCTCAAAGTAGAAGAAAAAAAAAAGGGGGGGGGGGAGGGTGGAGAATGGTGGACCTTGGTTGATAAATTAAGATAAGATGCATGTATACATCATGATAGCTGCAAAGTTTGAGGCTATAATTAGTTCATTTTGTTCATTTTACTATTTCAGTGGCATGGAACCCCTAAAACAATGACGCGTACCATTTTGACAAAAACTTTCCAGTTATATCATGTCGCGACTAACATTTTGGTCAAATTTTTTTTATACGGCTTACGTGTTACAAAAACATAACGACAAATTAATTTGGTAAAGGCAGATAACTCCTTTAAGATCTCACTGGATCACTTCGATCCAAATTAGGTAAAAATTCCTGAGGATGTAACAAACAATTTAGAAAAAGAATTTTGTCGATATCTTTGTTTGTTACGAAGGAGATGCACACAGATGATAAACAGTGAATAGGGAGATAACTCTTGCAAAGAAAATGGTTCCGCTTAGCAGGGTGAAATTTAAAAGCGCATAAACTATACGATACAATATGAGAAATATCTAAGCGACATATTGCGAAACAAATATTTATCGCAAGAACAAAATTAGGCGGAAGAAAAAAAAATATATATAAATCAATTGTTTTAAAAACAATTATTAACGGTCTTTCCCCTCCGAAACATGATTGATTGATTGATTGATTGATTGATTGATGGATGGATTGATTGATTGATTGATTGACTTATTACACACGTGTGATAGGGTCGCTTGAAACAAGCAAACACGAAACAAATGAGATCTTGGACCCGTATTAAACACAAAGGACCGAAACATGCATGTAATGGTTGGTTGGTTGGTAGGTAGGTAGGTTGGTTGGTTGGTTGGTTGGTTAAACACATGGGGCCGAGCCACTAGGACAACGCGAAAAGGGAATTGAGAGTCTAGTGCCCGTGTTTAAACACGTGAGACCTAGCCTCTAGGAATACGCGAAAAAGGAATTGAGAGCCTAGTGGCCGTGTTTAAACACTTGGGACCTAGGCTTAAGGAATACGCGAAAAAGGAATTGAGAGCCTAGTTCCCGTGTTAAAACACTTAGGACCTAGGCTTAAGGAATACGCGAAAAAGGAATTGAGAGCCTGTTCACGTGTTTAAACACTTGGGACCTAGGCTCTAGGAACCGCAAAAACGGGTCCTTGCAACATCATATTCAAATTATGACATTTGTAGGAACATGCAAGGATTTAAACACACTTACAATTAGTATCCTTGCCAGTTTTCCTTTATAAATATTCTCTTTTTTTATAAGGCTTCCCAGTACTTGTGTCTTATTTACTTATTGTGTATGCATTGTTTTCAATTTTATAATTAAAGGACATCGGACCTAACCTGCATGGATCTTTTGTATTTAACCCTGTACGTGCACATGCATTTTAATTCTTTTCGAAAAGGGGAAAACCCCTATTTTATTTTAGGTAACACGCGCTGCACCGGATGGATGGTGTGATTGTGACGTCACCAAGCTGATCGATATACACAGAAAGACTGTTTTTAAAATTTAGTTGCAGAGGGATTGTCGTCAAGACCAGACCTGTGTATAAAGATTGTCAGCTAACGGATTTAAATTTTCTTTCATTTACAGGTCATTGATGTCGGATCATGCATGCTTTTTTCGTACACATATTTACGGGAACACGGATTTCATTTTAATGCATGTTTAGACATTTGATTCTAGGATTTTACTACTATTTACGAACTTTGGAGGGAATTCTACGTAATTGATTTTTATTTCTCAATCTAGATTGGAACGTTAAGCGGACTGCACGTGATTTATACTGCTAACGGAAAAAAACATTTTTCATGAGTACTAAAGTAATTATTCTAAGCCAGCAAATTTTAGATATATATCTAGAAACTTAGCAGGACACAATTTATTTCCGGGCATAGCAATTATAACCTTGTTTCCTTTTCTTAAACATGTTCACTCAACTTAATACAAATTTCAACATGTGTTTCAAGAAAAAAAAACGTGTTTCCTTTTCTTATATTAGCCAACTCACTGTATCGCAAAAATCCGGATTATTGTTACAGACATAATAAAACACTCTTAATTTAGATAATTCGTGTTCAGAACCATAACTAGAACAGTTAACTGTAAAATGTCAGTAGTAATAGGCTCTTTTTTGTTGATAGGTTTACTCAACGTTCTATCATCTTCTAAAATAGTAGATAAACACCTTGCACGTGATTTATACTGCTAACGGAAAATATATTTTTTCGATTTTTTTTACAGGTAAACTATTGTCCAATCGCTGACCACTGGTCGACTCATTCATTGCATGCACACAAAAACAATGCTGGTACTTTAACAAAACGTTTATCGATTCATTTTCAGAAATACATGTACATGATTTGGAGCAGATATTTTATTTTGCAGGAATAGATTTGTATTTTTGTATTTCAGAACGAAATTTATTCATGAAAAAAGAAGGATTAGTACTTTTATAATAAAATAGAA